TGAAAACCAAAACCAACAGCTTATATTATAGACTATATGTGGTAACTATGAGGGTCTCCACTGGCAACGACAAATATCTTAATGAATAGCACATTTCAAGTTGGGTTTTTATTTTCGCGCAAAGCTACACGAGGGCTATCTGCGCTAGCCGTTCCTATTTTGCATTGTAAGACTAGATGGAAGTCAGCGAGTCACCACGCACCGCCAACTCTTTAGCTACTCTTTTACCAACGAATAGTGGGATTGACCGTCACATTATAACGCCCCCACGGCTGAAAGGGCAAGCACGTTTGGTGGGACGGAGATTCGAACCTGCAACCCTCAGATTACGAGTCGAGCGCTCTAACCATCTGGCCATGCCGGGCCAGGATACTGTTGTGACAATGTGTTGTTTAGAACAGTATACTACCTTGTCCCTATGGATAATAAAAATAATAAAAAACTAGATAAATTACCCGTTCTCTGTACAGCTGTCCAAATTACTTGATATAGGTATTTAAAAAACAATGAACTTGCTTTTAAAAAACTGTATTTTAAAAATTAAATTTTCATAACAATTTAGTTTTGATCTAAACCTTTGATTTTTCAAAACAAAAATTACCCAATCTAAATTAAAGCTTCTTAATATACAACATTGACTGTTGTTCCTTCTCATAATATAAATAATAGGTTGAACAATCACCAATTTTTTTATATTGTTACGTCTCCTTTTGTTAGTTGACTCTCCGTAAATTCGTTCCGACGAAACTTTAGCGACACAAGTCCTTTCTTAAATAAAACTGGTTTATTCTTTCCGAATACAACTTTACGATACACTCAACTTCAACAGTCGCGCTATAACAAACTATAATTCACGTCTCACGAGCTCGACTTCAACAATAAGTCTCTCTCTGACTGCAGTTCAATTACTCGTTACCTACACACACATTGTCCCGTCACGTTGTGACCATCTTATATATACCAGCCTACCCCCAATCTAGTAAATGCTAGGGCATTCACGAAGGAACAGGATATTTCTAGAAAATAGGTGGCGTGACACTAGTCACGTGACCTCGCTGACGCAACAATATTTTAATTAAAGAAGGATGACGTTAGCGACCTTCGTTAGATTGTACAGCTTACAGCTTGGTTGTAAGCTGTACGATCTGAGAAAGATCGCTTGCTTGAAACGTCATCCTTCTTTAATTAAAAATATAAAAAAGTTGGCGATTGTTCAACCTATTATTTAATGTTGATATCTTTGTCGCCTATGCGGTTTTAACTATGTTTCTTCTGACAGTATAAACAGGTTCTGATAAGATCCAACAATATTGGTGAATCAACCTTTAATTCCAGAATGTGTTCTGGCATTCCTGGTGGTTCAAGAGAATTTAGGAATTCAGTTGGGTAATTTACAGCATCAACTGTAACTGGAACACTGACAGTTGATGCTGTAGGTGAATTCCTGTCCGGGAGGCCCGGCATGGCCAGGTGGTTAGGGCGCTCGACTCGCAATCTGAGGGTCGCGGGCTCGAATCCCCGTCCCACCAAACGTGCTCGCCCTTTCAGCCGTGGGGCGTTATAATGTTACGGTTAATCCCACTATTCGTTGGTAAAAGAATAGCCCAAAAGTTGGCGGTGGGTGGTGATGACTAGCTGCCTTCCCTCTATCTAGTCTTACACTGCTAAATTAGGGACGGCTAGCGCAGATAGCCCTCGTGTAGCTTTGCGCGAAATTCAAAAACAAACAAACCTGTCCGGGAACCTTTTGCAATAATTGATCAATTATGTCACAAATAGTATCATTTCGAGGTGCAAGAATTTCTCTTGTACACAACCATTCATAATTATGACAAATATTAGGGAAAACCTTTTCTTTAGCTCTACTGCATCCTTAAGTAAGTTACCACATTTGCCTGAAATAGCCTGTAATAGTTGTTTGACTGATTGATTAGAAACTTTCCAATACTAACTTAAGAAGTTTCTAAATTAAACCGCTTGCTTTTATATCACCGAAATTATTATAAACAAAGAAAATAAAAATAAGCCACAAATTAACATGTACATTACTCATTCAACATAAACAACATTGTTGGTCTAACATCAATATCGTGATAGTTTTGTTGCTAAGCAGCGATGTATATTGTTGAGTATGACCAAAAGGAGCGTGAAACTGCATTAAAATCCAAAAATTAGTTTTAGGTTATTAACTAACTTTTTTTTGTGGGAAACCTGGTAGGAATTTTGCCCCTTCATGTTGCTTCTGGGGACCATAGCAGTCACCATGCCAAGTTTGGTGGTGATTGGTTAAATAGTGTGCGAGGAGTTAGCGGACAGATAAAACATATAATTTTGCTTTTATATCTATATAAATATAATAGCACTATCTGTTGTATGTCCATGTCACTACTTCGCAGTGTATGAAAGGATCTTCACCAAAATTGGTACGGAGGTTCATTAGGTCTATGCGGGGGTACATACAAATTTTCAGTTATGCGGTTTTTATGGGCATTTTTTCGTTTTTTACCAATACCTCACCCTTTCTGGATTGACCTTCACCAAATTTGGTATGAAGGTTCATTGGGTCCATGGGGAGATACATGCAAATTTTCACTTTTTGCGTTTTCGATTATTATGGGTGTTTTTATCCCTACTTCGCGCCCTGTTGATGGATCTTCAACAAACTTGCTACGAATATTTGTTGGGTCCATGAGGAGATGCATGCAAATTTGTTTCACATTGTGTTTTGCAGTTTTGCTAGTTTTTTTTTTGTTTTTTTTTACAATTACAAATAAGGGAAGCAGCTTTTCATGTCTCAAGATAACCTTTCATTACCCATGAATCAACATAACTTCCGTTCAGGGGACGGGTACTCCAGCTAGTATGTAGATATTTTTTTATAACAGTTGTACTGACTGGACATTTTTGATAATAATTTCGCATCTGTAAACTGTTATATTAGTACAATTGTATAAATTTCACGGGTTTTAGCTACGACTTAATTCCTTCTTGGAAGAACAAGAACATTAAAATGCCTGTTGTATAATAGGTTAAGCTTAAAAATGTAAGTATTTTGTTGTTGTTGTTGTTTGTTTACATACTAACGTTACCCTACCTTGGTCATGTAATTCTTATTTAAAATGTTCAATAATTGAAATAGAGTTTAATCCATACCTATTCTATAATGGATGTTATAGCACACAAAAATTAAGTTTATTCTTATTTATGAAAACTTAACCCTCTATTATTTCTTATTCACTTTGTTTTTTTAACTCTCATTAATTTTCTTCGCTTTACACAGCCTGTTTAACCCATAATAAATTTATTCTTATTTTTACAGCGCTGCTACTCTGCCAGTCACTTTTCGATGCCTGGAAGAAAATAATCACATTGACAAACGAGTCACGCGGTTTGTACTACCAGTGGGCGCCACGGTCAATATGGACGGTACAGCTCTATACGAGGCAGTAGCAGCAATATTTATAGCTCAGATGAATGGAATAGAATTGGCAGCTGGACAAGTCATTGCAGTAAGGTAATTAAACAACCCCCCCCCCCTTTCTGTTATATAGGTCCAGTAAACAATTTAAAGGAACTTGGGTATTTTGGACTCGGTATTTATTTTGTAAAACTCCACGGTATGGTTTTTCCGTCTACTTTTTGCCAGAAGCTAAATTTTGAAAGTTATATGTTGTATTTTGTACAGATTTTAAGTGGATGTAATTAACACGATAACCTCTTTATTAAGTGTTTGGTAATTGTCCAAATAGCATTAATTGTTTCGAAAGTTATACAATTGAGCAAAAACTGAATATTCGTGAAGATAAATTATAGATACCAAAACTGTTTTTTTAATGTCAGAAATTAGAGCACTGATCTAAGCTGATTTTCTAAAGAAACGTTACATCACAGATAATCTAGCCATAAGATATTAACTTTTATCGACCTTTGCCCTCTTAACTTTAAACTTTTGTAAAGTAAAGAAACGTAAATTAGTTCTGTACCATCATATTGAGCTCGATGACATATTTTAGTTAACTTTGCTCTGTATTACTATTAATAAAAGCGAAAAAGGCTTAAATCATACAGTGCCTATTTTTTAATTTTATTTCATTACTGGTTCTGTTGTATCAGTAAGTGTTTCCATCGATGTAAGTAGATTTTTAAAAAAAATATTACTGGCTACAAGAAAATTCTACCCCTGCCCCTTCTTTAATTAAAAATTCCTAACTGGTGAAAATATACGATTCTTATTCATATTTCTATATCTTTTAAACACGATATGGCAGAAAATCAGGAAAGACAAGTGGATTTGTAAAAGAAAATTCACTCGTCGAATCACACCAGAGTTCTATAAAGATTTGTTTCTTGGAAGATATCAATATATATCTAATTGGTTTCGTAAGAGTTCAGATAGCTCGAAAACTCGGCTCTCGATTGGTAATGATACGGTGTTTTTTACCCCAGCAGGATTAATGTACTTTTTATCACAATTAAGCACAATGCTCTTTCAAACTAAGCTTATAAAACATGGGTGTAGTGGTAAGAGGCTCCTTGTTCAAGAAAACCGATGAGTGAAATTAATTAGTTTTCATGTGAATTTCCTTAATAAGAGTGTTAGTGAGTGTATTTACCACGTAAATGACTAAACTTTGCTCTAACACAGAACAAAATGCCCAGCCTAGATATAGTTATAACCACAGAATGCCCAATTTTCGACCTACCAGAAAAAAAAAGAAATTTAGGATGAAAATTAAAGTCAGCAGTTCAAAAAGCCATGGCATGTAAACCCAACATAATAGTACCTTCAGAATAAAATTGCCTTTAAGAACTAAGAGAAAAAGAAAGCCATAGCAATTCTACTAGCATATAAAAAAAAATCCACTGTAGTCTTTGAAGACAACCACTACAAGAAGATCAAGTCTAACCCAATGGCTAACAAAGAGAAAAAAAATATTAACTAACATCTAAAGATGTTTAAACAAGAACTTGGAACAGAAACAGTCAAACAACGAATAGTAAGTGAAGGTGGGATAGGACGGCCACCTTAGCTTTTAATACAATTTTCACTGTCATGAAAAGGCAAAAGGTTCTAAAATGAACAAAATTTTTGTTAAAAATGTCAATTCTATTTATAACAGAGATTGGCCATAGACTTTTTTGTTTATTTAAAAAATACACTTCTTGTGGTTAGGTGCCATTTTACCTATAAGGTTGGATAAAATGGCACAGGTAAAGGGTAAAAGATGGCCCCGGAGGAGATCAGAAAGGCTACTTGTCATGCGTTATCTGGGATAATGGTGCAAAAGAACTTTGGTGCTAATGTGACAAATTTAATAAGGCTGCACTTACCATCCCATAATTAACTACCACTCTTTAGCTAGAGATATTGTAGATATAATATCACCATTAACCTAGAGGAGTGGATATCACACTATCCTTTCTCACAAAAAGTCTCAAGATCGAATCCTAGCCGTTATCACGAGTTCCTTACAGATAGCCGCGGATTAGTAGTATAAATGTAATAAATAAACCAATTGATATCTAGTATTAATACAGACGAATTGCTAAGTAACTGATAACTAGATTTAATTGAGCGAATAGGATACTAACCATAAGAACGTTTGATTTCGATATAACTTTACCATAAGTACTTACAAAACATCATTAGTGTTCAATATTAGCATGCTGTGTAAAGTTGCCTTATGTCATGATATATAGTTCCGGGTTTGAAACTCATCGAGGTTAGATGTTTAATTGTGAGGACTTGAAGTATATGCTAACATATTTATAGAACTTACTATTATTCTCAAATCATTTTGATTGTATTTATTTTTGTATCTCACCTTAGTTTGACGGCTACAGCCGCCAGCATAGGAGCAGCAAGTGTCCCAAGTGCTGGTCTGGTGACCATGCTGTTGGTGTTGTCAGCTGTTGGATTGCCAACTAAAGATATAACCATGATTGTCGCTGTTGACTGGTTACTGTAAGTACTTTCAACTAAAGATATAACCATAATTAAGAAACAATAAAAAGCACACTACTCTTACTGTAAGTTTTACTTTCATTTAGAAACAGTTAAAGACACCATTTTGTTCTAAATCCAGAGCTTGTGAAATATTTTGACTCGAAAACTAAATATGCTCATAACTCAGTTCGCCACGTACTCATCCTTCCCTATCACAGAGGCATGTCTGCGGATTTACAACTCTAGAAACCGGGTTTCGATACCCGTCGTGGGCAGAGCACAGATAGCCCATCGTATAGCTTTATGCTGAATATAAAATAAACAAAAACTCTAGAACTAAAAAAACATTTGTTTATATTGATTTATTTAAAACTCAAACTGTATTTTGATCATATATATATATATATATAGTACTTTATTCTTAAATTTCCAAACTATGTATAATTTTACTGAATTACTTTCTGTATAGCAATTGTTATTGCTGCTTGGAAAATCAATAAAATATTTCCTTCATTCATAGCAATGAAATCAATACCCTCTTAAATACAAACATAGAAAATTGTCTTTAAGATATCAGTAAATAACTACAGTCTTTGTCAGTTTTATGTAAACATATTTTGAGAGTTTTGTTTATCTACTGGCTCTTTAATTATATTGTCTGTACACGTATTATGATATTTTGAATTCATATTTACTCTGACACATAGCCCTGCTCTTATAATGTTACTCATAAAACTGAATACTCTACTACTTTCTATCCATTGGATTTTGTCTTTCTCATTAAATATTATTCACGCTTTTCAGAGACGTAATTTTTTGTTGTTGTTGTTGTTTTAACATAGAGACCGCCTCCGAACTTCCATCAATGTTCTTGGAGATGCCTTTGGTGCCGGAATAGTCCATCATCTATCCAAAGCTGAGTTGGACAAAATCGATGCTGAACACGCTCGGATAGAAATGGAAATGGCAGAGAGAAGGTTATCTGGTACCGCTAGGAGGAGTATCGTTCGCCACAGAAGTTTGGAGAAAGCTAACAGCAAAACGGATAATCCAGGTGGCAGCACAAGCGAATGTGTAGAGAACAATGAAACTCAGATTTAAAGATGTTAAATGAGAAATAATATTATCCAACAATTTAAACTATCAAGAAAGAAATTAGTTTTTAAATTAGCTAAGTATGAAATTTTGAGCGTCCTCACTCCCATGCATTAAAACTTTCCAATAGATGGCTTTTGTAACTGTTGAAAAGATTTTGTTATACAAAGAAATCCTTAGATGATATTTTGGTTACTTTTACATTACATTGCAGAACTCGAGATATAACATTTTTGTCATTAAGTGTTAATATCAAAAGCATAGGAGAATATTTAATATTTCTCATAACCATATATGATTTGATGCATTTTACAAAAGAAATACCTACAATTATACCAATGTCTCTCCAGTAACATCCTGAAAAGTTGTAATCATCAAATTATGATTATCCAGTAAAACAAAAAAAAAAAACGTTATGAAAATCAGCAGTTTATGTAGCTATCCCTATAACTTTATAAAACGCACAAACTTTTCAAATAACAAAATTTGAGTTTTGAGATGTTTTACGTAGCTGTCTAGTAAATTTAGAAAACGAGAATATTGCAATAAAGCAAATCTTTGGATTTCAAACTGATAAAAGGATTAATATAAATTTTTATTGGAGTCAGCAGATGGAACATTACGTTACATTGTTATTGGAGTTAACAGATGGAACATTACGTTACATTTTTATTGGAGTTAACAGATGGAACATTACGTTACATTGTTATTGGAGTCAGCAGGTGGAACATTGCGTTACATTTGTATTGGAGTCAGCAGATGGAACATTGCGTTACATTTTTATTGGAGTCAGCAGATGGAACATTACGT